CGGGGGGCAGGGGGGTGTTAAGTGTCCTGACTGTTGGTGTTGGTTCTGTGGGTCCACGTGTGAATCAGATGTGACGACGGGTTAGATCAAAAAGTTCTGGAGTCTACAGCAACTGTTTAAACTCACAGGAATAGAATAAAATTATGATCACGTTAAATAGAAAACGGAAACATCCAAATAAGAGAAATATTTATATATTTATATATATATGAATATATATTTCTGTATGTAACTGACTGTACTACAGTCCACTACAGTACGATGTATTTTGAACCTCACGTGTTGTCATGCGTGTGCGTACACTGAGCCCCCCCTCCCTCACCCCTCCCCCCTGTAGACATGTAGATACTGTAACATTGATGTGGAGGATTCTGATCCGTCTATTTTAGCACCGTTCTGCTGACTGAGTTCCTGTTTTCCGCACGACTCGTCTCGTGTTACGCAGCGCTCGCTGATGTCGCTGTAGACTAGCAACAGTCTTCTCATGACTTTATCACTCAAATGTCAAACACGTGTCCAAATTCCACGTCATAAACACGGCCTGGGCAGACGGACTCGACGCCACCGCTGTATTCGTTCTGTCCGTTAACTGTTCTCCGCCCCAGTGTTCTCCTGGTTCTACTGGACTGTTGAAAAGGGATTCGAAAGTGAAAGAGTTTAATCTACCCTACAGGACAACCTGGTACTGGTACTGGTACACACTGACCCACCACGCGGTTCTCAGTGGGATTGTTGCTCGGCTTTGTTCCAAGGAGGGTTCGATTGCCGATCGTTTACGTTCACATCAACATTTCATCTTTGCTCTGGTTTGAATTTCAACCAATTAGATTCTTTTTTTTTACTTGTTGTCACCCACCCTCGCTGCTGCCAACACCTCAGACCCTCGTACCTGACTCTGCCACATCGGCAATGTCCACCCCTTGTTCTTGTGCCATGAAGCCCAGGACAGAAAATATTGCGAAGCCAGACACAAAGCTGGTTCCACTGTTGAGGCCTCCCAGCAGCAGACAGTCCCTGTGTCACACATGGAGGTCGTTAGTGGACACGCACCCACTTCAGTTCACTCACACGCCATCAGCTGCCACTACTACAGTCTCACCACCCCCTCCACCCCCCGCCCCCGAGGCGCAGCTCACCTGTAGCAGTTGTATCTGTAATTGTTGTAGCTCCCCAGTGATGTCATGGCGCCCAGACAGATGGCGTAGGAGAAGAAGATCTGAGTTCCTGCATCGATCCACACCTGAGGGTAAGACAGAGGGGAGGTTTACTGCACGGAAGAGGAGTCGACCGCGACCCCCTTGTTGAGCACCGCTGAGCTTCTACAACTGTCTCTGACCGACAACTGTGACATCACAGAGCGTCCAGGTTTACCTCTGGATCCTGGAGGCGGGACAGGTCGGGGTAAAGGTAGAACTTTATCCCTTGAGCAGCACCTGGTAACGTCACGCCGCAAAATACAATTTTGAAAATGTAAAAAAAAACAAAAAACTGTCTTTTAGTCCAGCACCAGAGAAAACAAAAAAATAATAACATTTATAAATAAAATTTAACTGAAAAAAGGAATTTAGCAAGCACTCTGATTGGCTGAAGATATAGCCAATGAGCCAATCCCAGCAGGTTTTGAGTTCAGACCATGTGGACCACATGTACAGATGAAAAGATTCACACTCACATTCACACCAGAGGTCAGTCTGGAGTGAATAATGAACTAAACTCCAATCTGTGTGTTTTTGGACAGAGGGAGGAACGTTGAGAACCCCCCCGTCCCCGCCCCCCCAGGTAAATGTCAGAGTTGGTGTTGGTCGTGGTCGATGTTTGTCATTCTGGACACGCTGTTCTGCTCCGAGCAGCCAGGGCGGCCCCCCCCGTCCCCCCCCCCCCAGGTAAATGTCAGAGTTGGTGTTGGTCGTGGTCGATGTTTGTCATTCTGGACACGCTGTTCTGCTCCGAGCAGCCAGGGCGGCCATTGTTGTCCAGACGCTGAGGCCGGAGCAGAGCGAGGGCTGAGGAGGAGCAGTCGACAGGAAGTCTGGCCAAGAGGCGACTCTCGGGGCAGCTCAGAGACGTGTGTGTGTGTGTGTGTGTGTAAATCAGCCGCTGTTTTCTCTCCCGGCAACGGTTTTTGTCACTCATTTGTCGGGACAGAAAGTGGAGGCCAAACGGCGTCCAGGCAACACGTGCGTCCAATCAAACACTCACTTTCCCAGTGGACTTGACTCCTTTCCAGATGCAGAAGAAGCAGATGACCCACACGGCCAGGAGACACAGGGCCAGGTCCCACTTCAGAGGACCCATGTCCTCGATCCCAGAGGAGATGCTCAGGACGTTGTGTCTACACAGGACAGAGACGGACGCTTTAGAAACGGATCGTGTCCAGGACGTCACGACCGGAGACAAAGACGAGACACTTGGAATTCCCTGTGTAAGCTCTGTGGCTCTGGGGGGGGGGGCAGTTACAGTCGCTGTGCCTCCCCCCCCCCCTCCTGTGGACTAACCCTCCAGCGAACACTTACTCCCAGAACTCGGTGACGGGGGAGGTGAAGTTGGTGCCGTTGGCGGCCAGCCACAAGCTCCTGTTCCTGCGGACCGTGTCCTCCACGCAGCTCTCCGTGTTCCAGGCCTGGTTACATTTTGCCCACGGGAGCTCGGGCTGAAAGCACTGGAACAGGTAGTAGAGCCCCCAGGCCAGGATGACGATGTAGTAGACGTTGAGTAGAGACACGATGACGATGGAGGCGTAGCCGATACCTGCAGGACCACGACGGACAGGAAGAGGGAGACAGAGAAACAATGAGATAAACCGTATATATTTAATGATTAGATTTAGTATATTTATATATTTATCAATCCCTAAAAACTGGATGAACACGTGACAGAGGTCAGGGGCTGACCAGTGACCCACTGAGCCACAGCTATTCAACAGTAGAGAACAATGAGCAGGAAGGAGAACGGGTCCGTGTTTAGGAACGGTACCAACAGGAACAGTGTTTGGGACCGGTCCAGGGTGAAACTCTGCCCTCTAGTGTTGACTCCTGTTCTTTTCCTCACACCCTGGTCCAGCAGCGTGACCTTTGAACCTGTATTTATTTTTTTAATGACTGTTGCTGCTCCTGTCGTTCTCTACGCTTCAGTACGTGGAAACGGAGAAGGCTGAAAAAAGAAGCGTTCGGGGAACAGCGGCGTTCCCTGGCAGCTGCAGACGATCCGATGCTTCGTCGTTTCCTCTCTGAGAACCAGTCCAGGATTCACAGCAGCTGCTGCGACCGTCATCACAGCAGCTGTCACTCCAAGGCAGGAGGGTGGCACCGCCGGGCGATGACAGGGGTATCTGGACATCGGTGGCAAATACGGACCTCAGATTTAGAG